TGATGCTGCATGGATTCAAGGCTATTTCCTCATTGCTAATTTCATCCCATGGTTACTGGGCCAATGTGAACAGTGGAAGTAAAAATCAGGCGAGACAGAATGTCTCGGGCGCAAAAGCTATTTGGCCGCATGGCAAGCCCGGGGCTCCTGCGAGCATAAGCCACTTCCCTCGACTGCGCTCTTATTGTCTCATCAGATCCACAAAAGAGTATTGTAGCGTCACGGCTTGGCAGCAGCAAGCCGAGTGCAAGGTGAAGGGTTGGGGGATCTGAAAATAGACGCCCAAACAAAGAAGGGACTTTCCGACAGGAAATGGTCCGCGGGCCAGGCAGCGCCAGGGAAAGGCTCTTTCCACCGCGCGGGGGACGTAGGAGGTCAGGTGACCTGAACCTATAAAGACGCCGCGGAGAGACGGCGCGAAGGGGTAACGTTTCTGGTTTCCTCGTGGCTAGACCACAAAAACTTTGTCCGCCCAGGCTGGTGCGGAGTGCCGATGGCACGTGGTTGTTCGATGAGTTCGGACAGGGTGATGTGTTCTTCAAACACATTCGGGCAGATCGTCAATCTGCCGGGGCACACCAGGTGCCAATTTGCGAGGCGGCATAGCAGGCCGGTCGTAGGCGTCGCAGCAAGGCGCATGTAGGGAGAGGAGGGCTGCAGTGGTAGCTCTGGCAAACCGCCTTAGAGTGAGACTTGTAAATATGTACATTGTGTAAATAAAACTTGTATATACTCACTCGTGTCTGTTTCCTTGTGGTGTAGATCACTACACACGACGTTACAGTATACACACGCATGCTATAGCAGGGGAGATGAGCACAAAGCACGCTCGAAAAATTACGACGCTTTTTGCGAAAATAAATTTGATGCTAATGATGCTTCCTTAGCAAACAACGAAGATTTAAATTAATGTTTTTAATATACTTCATTTCATAATGTCAATTTTCTTTTCACTTTCTCACCCTTACGAATGTAAGAAGAAAAGTATTGTAATGGTGCGCCGGAAAACTGCGAATATTTCACAGAAAAACTGTTGGGCCAGGTAACGAAAAAAGTGGATAAATCATGTTCCCATATATAGAAGATTAGTTCCTCCAACACGCGATGTAGCCAGAAACCAGATTTTGTAGGTCCTTGATACCGAAAAATTGATCAAAGGCAAAACGTCTGTCCGTGTGTGGTCAACGCTAGCTCCAGAACCGTTCAGACGATTTTCTCCCAAATCGATATTCTCCGATCGGTTTGAACGAGCTCGAAGCTTGGGAGTACACGTAAGCTTCCGCGGCTCGAATCCATAAATTCTCGGCTATCCGTGAGACGCCGCGTCGTTGGCTGGGAGGCCGACGCTTCGCCGATGTCGCAGGCTTCCTCACTGCCCTGAGGAAGCCTGCGACATGTCAGGCGAAACGTCGGCATCCCAGCCAACGACGCGGCGTCTCCCAGATAGCCGAGAATTTATCGAAGCTTGGGAGTTTCAAACGGATGTTTGGAAAGAGTATGATACTTTACATGAAGCCTCAAGACCATTTTCATTTATTTTTCAAAAATAGCTCCATTTTTTCAATTAAATTTTGTCCTCGGATAGCGTGCAGAACGCTAGCCAAAAACCAAAGAGGACGGCGACCGGAAGCAGGCGTACGCCCACCGACGAGTAAAGCGACCAGAACCTTTTTAACTCGGCACTCCCAGAAGAAGTGGACCGGATACGGGACCAACTGAGCACCAAATCCCCCAACGTAGTAATGACAAACAAGGGCGCGCGCAACTGGACAGCAAAGAAGAAAGAAAAACTCAAAGGGCCACCGTCCCCACTGAGCAGCAGAAGAGTGGAACGAATCACCGCAGGAGCAAGGATGCCCCGATCCGATAGAAAAAAGGCGGGATGGAAGGAATAACAAGGAAAGAAGCAGAACAGACATGAGAGGGAGTGAGAGCGTAGGCTTCCGTGGCCGGAGTCAGTATTTACTAGGCTGTCCGGGTGGCGCCGCGTCCGTGGCGAAGGTGCCGACGTTTCTGTCGCCATTCTGCGACCTTCCTCAGGGCGTAATGCATTTCGTCACCTTCGCCATGGACGCGGCGTCACCCGGACAGCCTAGTAAAAGACATGAGAGGGGTCAACAAAAGGGGCCCAGAGCCCCCTCACACAAGAGCCTCTGCTGTCCCCTCCGACCCCCCTGCTGGCACAGCAGCAGAAGCCGGAGCCGACCTGAATAGACGCTCACAACAAACTCCCCCGCAGCCACACACAATGCCTTCGACAACACAGGAAGCTGACCCCACCTCATCCTCCCGCACGGGTGAGGAAGCCAGGCCGGAAGGGCCGCTCAGAAGACCAAGGGGCCAGAGGCGCACCTATGAGTGGACCGAGAGACTGCACAGCGCCTTCGATGAGACCGCAGGCGCGGGCAACTGAACTGACGTGAGTGACTTCTGACATAACAGAAGATAGACTAGACGATCTATATAACTGTTTGATAGCCGGCCTGCAGGACACCGCCAAGATGAAAATACCTGCGGGCGAAGCTCCGATGCCAGCTACGGCAAGCAACCGCCAAACACCGATCGCCGACAAGCGCAGAATTAAAAAAAACCTATCCTGCCCAAAGGCGTAAGGCGATGCGGTGGATTGCTGGGAGTGACGGAAAGCGATGCATTCTACCCATTGCTGATATGGAAAACCATTTCACGAACATGAATGACGCAGACAAACTACCGACCAGCTATGACCGTAACATTTATGAGAAAGTCATTGGATGGGAGCCTGTCGACTGCAGCAACGTTTCTCAAAAGGAAGCACTCCTAAGACAATCAAAGGCGGAAAACACTGCGTCCGGAGAACCTATAGTCACCTACGACAAACTGATTCGGAAGCAAAACAAACTACAATATTTACTTTAATAAAACAGGCTAGCAAAATTCCTGATGCGCGGCGCCACTCACGCACAATCCTGATATTCAAAGGGGACAGAACAGACTTAGCTAACTGGTTGCCAATCACCCTTGCGCCCACAATATACAAGAGTTCACACCGGGCTGTGGACAAGACGATTCGGCGCCTGGCTAGAGCAGAATGAGGTGCTCTTTCCAGTTCAAAAGGGCTCCGACCGCTCGATGATACCCAACTACATACTTAATAAATACATACATACCCGTATGTATGAGTGTATGTACGTACGTACGCATGTATGTACGTATTTACTTGGCGCGACAGCGCGTTAACCGGCTCAGGCCTACCGGTTCGATGAGGTACTGAAGCATAATTACGTGCTGCAGCGTCAGATAGATTGGGCGAAGGTGGGCAAGCGCGATCTCGCTATTACACTCCTCGACCTAAAAACGCCTTTGGCTCAGTGTCCCATGGAGCGCTCCGGGACGCCCTGAAAGCGGCGGGGGTTGGGGAAAAGTTTATTAGAATTGCACAAGATATTTATATGAACACTTCCACCGTAGTTGTGGCGGCACAGGGACGGACGGACCGACCGACCCATCCCGATAACAAGGGGTATGCAGCAAGTGGGGCACTATTCAACTACCTCAACCGGGTCCGCAGCGGCTGCCTCGGGCAGTTGCAATCCCATTCTTGCATATGCTGACGACGTAGATAAAAGTTAATTTGTAACAAACTAATTATAAACACATAGACAATAGCGACTATATCTTTTCACTGTTGTCATGATAAGCCTTTAACTACAAGAATCTAAAACTTGATAGTAAAAGTATCAGTCTAGCTCAAAAGCAAAAATTCTTCAGTTACTCATACAAAATAATTAAAATGAAACACAGATAGTGTAGATCAAAAAATTCAAAACGTATTATGCTCTGAAAATTCCCACAAAAAATTAAAAAGAGGGTGAAAACACATTATGCTTTGTAGATGTTGACTTAGTACTGAAAAATATTAATTCATGCCAGGGCTTAAATAATTTAATTTTAACCAGTAGCATCTGGACTGCAAAGTAAGAATTACTTAGATAAGTTTCAAGAACCACATTCCTTTCTAACACTTTTTGGTTGTTTAAATGTAAAATTTATTTAATGAAAGTATCACTTTTTACTTTCCCATATACGTACGTCTACGGAGTAATTTTCGTAGTATAGAGAAAGTTATGAAATGCTGCAGGAAATCGATCGCGAGATTTCAACGGTAATATACGTTTTGTGGTCCCCTGATACCGAAAAAGTTTTTGTTTTTGTTTTTTTTTTTCAAAACGTCCGTCTGTCTGGTGTCTGTGAACACTACTAGCGCCTAAACCATGCGTAGGATTTTTTCCAAATTAAAGAAACTCGTGTCGATCTGGCTCGAGTTGAATCCTTGAGATTTTGAAAAGTTCTTTATAATTTGGGGGTACTTTACATGAAGCCCGCGGTGAAGCCCCCGGACATTTTCAATTTTTTTTTCTAAACTGCTCCAAATTCTTTCTTTAAATTTCTTGAAAGAATAGAGTAACATAGACTTATCAAGGTGGCATAGGTAATTGCACTCTTTAATATGACGTTAAGTTAATTTCGGCGTATTTTTCGTTTTTTCAAAAATTACACAAGTGTAAATTGTTTTTAAGATCTCTCACGGCGTTGATTTGCACATTACCAACTTTTTGTAACTTCTATTGTGTTTGTTGAGTGAAAGTACTTAAAAGACTTCAAATTAGGTTTTTTGAAAACTCAAAAATTTTCTGTGAAAAAGAACTTCAAATTTCGAATTTACAATAGCACTTAAATGCCAGTGTTTTTAGAAACGGCTCCCAATTTTTCAAAGAAAATTGCCATTTAGGACGAGGTTTTACTGTTCTTTAATACTCTTGAAATAATATTTCCGGTCTACAATTAGGAAACTGAAAAATGTTAAAGAGAAAATGCACTTTCGGCGGTGATAGATGGTAGCAGACAAGAATATATGGCCAGTTCGAATAGCTAATTGAGACCAAAGAAAATAGAAAACTAATACAGGAAAGTCTGTACCACTACTTATCGTACTGAAAGTTTTTCACTTTGAGTATATAGCTTTATTTGCTTTTTAGGAGATCTAATTTACATGATTTTCCCATTTTAGGTCAGTCAAAATCTTGATTTCCAGATCTTTTATAACCTACTACATTTTCTTACCCTAAGTGATATTTGCTTTTGGATTATATTTCCCTATGTGGATAGCCAAATATTTCAATAGTTCAAGGGTAGCATCTAGGGATCCAGTCTTATGATCATTCATATTTTCAATTTAATTCCTCTTAGACATGGAGACTGTTCACAAGAGGGTTGGGAATCATTTGCCTGAATCTGGAATCATTTATATGAGAATTTGGTATCATTTGTGTACATCTTGACTTGGGATTGCATTCAATTTAATAAGTCACTAGTTAACAAAATAAATAGGATTGGTCTTGATACTGAGCCTTATGGGACTACACTATTCTTTTCTCCAATTCTCACGCAGAAGTGCCGATTCTTCAGGAGAGATTGCACCCCTACATAGTAGCTATCCCTTATGAAGAAAATAGCAAGTTTACAAATCACCCTACAATGTGGTTCATCATCAAAATCTTTAGAGAAGTCCAAATAGATAATGTCTGTCAGATTAGCATTATCTAAATCCAATCATGAAGTCAAGATTGGTTGTTTTAGATCTACCCAGCATAAAGCTGTGCCACTGTTGACTAACACATCCAGGTCTCAAAACTAAATTGAGCATTTCCTTCAACAGAACGTGTTCAAAAACCTTGCATATCAAACTGGTCAGGTGTCTGTAGTTGCTGGGGTCCAGTTTACTGCCTTTTTTGAAGATGGAAATTATCTTGGCTGTTTTCAAGTCAGATGGTAATATTTCGAAGTCAGGAGACTTGGAATATTTTGTGGAGAGTAGGAGCGGGTTCTTTGCTACATTTCTTCAGAACAAGTTGTGCGATATTATTTGGTGCAGCAGTGGAGTTTAGGTTAAATGATCTTAGTATATTATAGATGTTTGCAACTTAAAAATCAATGTATCAATGCCATCCAGTGTTTCTTCAACAGGAGGTGAAGATATAGGTGGGATGGAATCTTTAGGTGCAGACATAAAAGTTTTGAAAGCAGGTTTCAAAGATTTCAGTGATCTCTCGTGTGTTTGAATCTATGAAAGAAAAAAGACTGCTAATACACTAAAATGTTTTTGTGACTAATCAGAGCATACCATCATCTTTCTGCATTTTTAGTCAACAAAACCTATACGAGAGCTCTTGAGCGTTTCAAAACAACAAAACGTCTCCATATCAAATGTAATCTAACAACCACCTCTTCATTAGATTCCACTGTCAACCATCAACTAAATTTTTGCTTTGGAGCCGTTCATTTTGCTGAAATACACATTAGAATAAAATGCAAAATTAATGTTTAAAAACACAGTGCTAAACTACTTATTTTATGTAGTAATTATAATAATACATTTTTGTAAAAAAAAATACTTTTGGCCCAAGTGAAAGGTAACTTGACTTTTAACCTTATTGGTAAGCCTGTCACTCATTTCTTCCAATATATGACACGAACAACACTATCTTGTATCAGTCATATAACTGAAATTCTTTCATTGAAAGTATATCAAATAAAAGCTAGATGCAATCAGCATTTAATATATAGATCATTAGAACTTACTTAGGGCTAATATTGTCTATAAGACAAGATATTCCCATTTCAAACAGATTCATCAGATTCAAGGTTGCCTTATTTGCTAGAGGAGTATATTACAACAATGATAATAGTAGTAATTGTTCCATAAAAATGTAATTAATATAAAAAATCTATTTATATAAAATTTCTACTTCATTTATGCATAAATAATTACATGAACATACAAATATATTCATTTCGATCACAAACACTGACTTAATGTTACTGAATACAAATAAATAAAAAAAAAAAAATATACAATTATTTTTGAACATTCAAAATTACATGAACAAAAATCGTCAATAGGTGTGTCAATTAAAAATCTTCACAAACTTTCAAAACACATTAATAGTATTTAAAACTACATAGAACAATATTTGTCTCCAGAAATTCTAAAAGTTTTTTTTTACTGTTGTTTTAATTGCAGTGATCCAGTTGCTTTAAGAAGTGGAAATGAGTAACTGACAAGAAATTGTCAGTATATTCAATATATTCAATATATACTTCAATTCAAATTTATGTCTGGTAATGCAAATATGTATCCCGTTAATTGGTGTTGAAAATACATAAGTATTATTAATTTATTTATCATTTAACTACTTATATTAAACAACAAAAAAGGTTTTTTTGATGATAAATAAAATTAACAATATCAAGATGCAGATGGAAACCAATATTGTCAGTATTAAAAAAAAAAGTCAGTATTAAAGGACAATCAAATGTACATGACATATAGCTGTGCAAATGAGAAAATCTGCTGTGAGAAGCAACATCTTGATCAGAGAATTTTAGAACGGAAACTTCATAAAACATTTTTCCAGTCAAGAAATTAAATTGACATTGCACAAAATGGCCTGTATTAACTCTTGTAACCTTCTTTGTTGTGAATATGTTAAGAAATGAAAGGATGTTGATCTACTTCTAAAATTCCAAATATTTTCTTTATTGTTTTTCAATTTAATTACTGAAAAGATTAAGAATGTATAGTATGTATATCTTTATAAGAGGACATAAAAAATCTTTCATTGTGTCAAGGAATCAAAACAAAAAAGCCCCGTCTCTCATAACTTTTTTACCCAATCAATGAGTGTATTCTTTAGCAAAATCTGGTTGCTGCTTTATGCCAAAGGGACTGAAACCATATTGTATGTACATTGTTAAAATACATATTCCAAATGTATTCACACACATTGATTATTTCAGTATTTTAATTAAACAACATATAAGAGACCAATACCTATCTTTCAGAATTTAGTTACAAAAGTGCAAGCGGACTTAAAAGTTACATTAATGACTAAGACCAAAATTGTGTTGGGTGCACATCATGAACTCTACAATATTTGCCTAGATAATCAGACTAATATCTTACTATTGTAAAATATTTTTTGTTTGAAGTCTGTTCAGAATTTTAGTTAACACACTCTTAATGTCACATAACTCTTAATGTCATATTACATTAATAAGCTTTTGAAGTTGTCTACTAACAACAAATATGCATCAAATATATTTTGTTATAAATCCATAGAATGAATAATTTTCTATGAATACATTTTTATCACAGATTCTATAAGACCATCATTGTCTGATTTACTTTTAAATAACTACGTATATTTCTTTACCAATATTTATGCCACCTCCTATCTATTGTATAGAAGTCAATCTACAGCATTTATAATAAAAGTTCTTGAATAAGCTTGAAAACAGGAGATACTCATTATAAATACACATTTGGCTATTTTCTTCTGAATAACTAAATTTCCTCTCGCCTTTTTTGCTTTATAAGGAGATAAACACTGGAAGCACGTAAATATACAAGGGTGGCTCCACGGCCTTTGAATTCTTTGAAGAGCCTTGAAAATTTACAGATCAAATGCATTAAAATATTTTAATAAATTGCTCCAAAAGTCCCAATATTTTCTGATTTAACTGAATTACTGTTAAAAATGAAAACCATTTTAAAATCTAATGTTGTTATAGTTAGCTATGAAATTCAATTCAAACAATTTCTACATATATATAAATAATTTCATAAATAATATCTTAAAATTTTTGGAACAAGTAAATGTTGATTGTCTATAGACTCTTATTTATAAGGCTGATTTTTTGTGAAAATAAATAATGTAAAGTATTCAGCAAACCAAATGACATTATTTATTTCTGATATATAAAGTTATGGTTCACTAAAATCTTATAAAATGCCTCCTAAATATTTTCTGGAGCCATCCTTGTAATAGTTGTAAAATGTAATACGTATCTATTTCTGGAATTTTGATAACACACTCAATCATTCACAAAATAAATATTTTACAGTATTATATATTAATTTAAAACATTTCTACTACTTTAAAAGTGCAAATCAAATTTACTTTCATTTAAAAATAAAGAAAATAAACTCTATTCACACTAGATTAAACTTTATATCCAACATTTATTTGTGTAATTGACCTCAATCTAACCAGTTCTTTCACACACTATTTATTCTTTATGAACAAATACATTTTCATATAAAAAGTATATTGCATTGAAAGTTTGCGATAATTTGTATACATCACTTCATTTCACAAACAGAAAATGGTTTCTGTGTTGTTTTGATTTTTCACAGTTGTCACTTTTCTTCATCATATTCAAATTACATGAACAGTTAGTAAGCAACACTGATTGAAAATAAACATATCTAATGAAAGAAGCAAATGCAAGTTGTTTTAACTACAGTGCAGCACAAACCACACTACCAAATAATACAATCCAGTTTTGGACTTTGTATTCACACTACAAAGCACAAATTATTGAAATATTCTCAATAAATGAAACATTAGTCTTGAATACAATTAATGAATAAGTGTAGCATTGTACCTCTGATGAAAAGGAGTAACACGTCACTGTCATTGTACTGTCACTGACATGAACTCTCTAGAACCATGCTAGTAATGAAAAAACCAGCAATACTTGAATTTAACCTGTGAGGTAGCTAGAAACAAATTGGTTCAATTTCTTTAGAAGACTTTTGAGTGCTTCAATAAACTCTTAGTTAATTGTTATGTTTTTCTTTATCTTGAGGCAAAGTTGTGGAATAAAAAGTTAATTTCTTACATTTCTAAAGAGATTATATTCTTCAGGCACCATGATACCTGAATTTCAAATGAGTACTTCAATGTGTATTAGAATTATCAACAATAAAGTAAAAGGTAGTGAAAGTGTCTTCACATTGAAAATTTGAAATAAATATTCATCTATATATGATACATACATCACGTTGCAAGACGCCATCGTAGGCCTATAAAACATATTGTTCTAAAAAGGACCAAAAGTCCAAACAAAGCAATAATAGGAGACACAAGTGACACATTTTGAATATCCAACATACGTAATATTACTTGAGGATCTTTGTAATGGCAATAAATTTCATCACAATTTAAATGTTTGCGATCAAATCCAAATACAACTAAAACAAGTGCCACAACACCACACCGTAGAAAACTCATTTTCATGATTGCATTCATCAGCCATGATATTTGATTGGCAAAATCAAATCCATAAACAGCAAGACCAAGAAATGGTGCAATAATTGCTGGTGCAGCTACACTACCAGTCTGAAAAAAGAAACATTGAATTAAATTGAAACAACTAAAAATGTAATACTAATATATTATTATTGGGTCAATAAATGTGTATATGTGTGTGTGTAAGAAGTTATTAAATACAAATTACAAGTGATTTAAAATTAGCAGAATGAAATGCAAGGTATAAATATTAAATTGCAATTTTGTCAATTGTCAAACAGAGGTTTAAAAATATTCAAATTTTGATGAATTATAAAATGGTAGGAAAATTCCAGAATTTAAATAGTACTTACAGTAACATCTGCTGCTGAAGCTATAGCCAGACCTAAGCCTTCTGATGCAATAGATACCAAGATACCCACAATTGCAAAACTTGCAAATCGAGTCAAGTCCATAGGAAGACCACTCATAAAATATACCATAGTAATAAATATCATGCTGAAAAATACCTGGAACATGATATCATGCAATGAATACATTATCACACAACAAAAATGTTACATTTCAAAGTAATATAAAATTTAAAATTACATAGAAATTATCTCTTGATAGTTAAGCCTTTGTAAATGAGAAAATTGTTATGGGTAATCCTAGTTGTGACTGAATAACTTGCACATTATGTTTAAAACCCATCTCAAATACCAATATTTCTAAATTTTCCCACTTACCAGCAGATAACCTAGTCAAAAGTAATACTAAATTGAACAAACCTGTGTTGGAATTTTTGACACAGTCATTGCTGAATAATATGGTACGAGACTGTACCATTTATTAAAATGTTCCCTCCTTAAAAGCTTGACCTCATAAGGAACTGCGGGCATGAGAAACTTTCAATTATACATTTATACATATACTTTTATCCTTTATCTCCCTCAAATACTTCTTATTCATAATTTCATGGAAAATATTTAAATACTGATGGTAATACTAATTTATACCTTTCACCTCTTGAGAACACTATAAAATTTTACAATTACATGAGAATACTTTCTTGTTTCGCAATTGTCAACTTCTGTTGCAATCCCAAAGCTATTAAGCATGATGTAATTGTTATAATTGTAGTAATTGTGATTTTTCAATGGTCAATTACTAATATAATTAAATATAATCCGACTTGCATTAGTAATTAAGTAATAATGTCAGTAACTTTTATACTTGACGAGAACCCCTAAAATAATTTGGTGGAAACATATTAATTTTGTATTTTTTTTATTTAATAATATGTGTTTAGAAGTAAACATGCTATGAATTTATCATGAATGAACAACATTGTTCTTAAGGTCTGTACCCTTGGATTGGTGATATTGTAGTTTTCCTGTGAATGGTTAAATACAGTATAACGTGTATGTTTTATTTTGGTTGTCCTAAATAATTGGAAATCCCCAACATCCTACAATTGGTATACGTCAATTACCACTGATTTACAGTAAAAATCCAGCTTACTCTAAAAAATAAATTTTACTTCATCCAAACTGGATCATGTGTTTTTGGTATTTTGGTGCCTGAGACGACTTAATGAGCATACTATGTGTGATATAACATTAAATTTACATTTGATTTCTTTTCAAAATGAATACAGTAACTATACCATGCAAATAGCAATAGGAAAGGAGTTATCTTGTCACTGTAAATGTTATATACAATATATTAAATAAATGTATAAATTTAAAAATGTATTTCATTTACTAACATAGAGTAAAACAACAACAACAACAACAACAACTGATATAAGGGGCTCAGGGGCTCATGGAATATTTCTGTGGAGAGCCAAAATTCTTTGGTTAAACCATGGCCTCATCACTCATTGTCTGGCCAACGAATACAGCATAAAATACATCTATTTCTAAATTAAATTTGTGTATACATAGACACAATGGAAACTGGAAATCTTTTGCCTTTTTCCATATATGTACTACTTTACAAAGTGTTAAAAAGTAGACAGGAGCTTTACCAAAACTGTAATGCAAGTTTCAAATATTTAGTTTTAAAGAATGAATGATGTTAAAATCTTAATCAATTCAATCTAGTTTTTGGCTGGTTACTTTGTAGCACTAGAAGTAGAATAATATTTTAAGGAGACTTCTTTGTGAGAGCTACCTTGTATATACTAAATTAGAATTTAACCTTAATAATGAAGAAGACATAAGTACACTTACAACATAAAACAGGCACCATAATCCATGTATATCCATGGAATAAAACTACGCCAATACAAAACTTCATGTGGTTAAACATTTTGCTTCCATCATTGGCTTGATTAAAAAATATACATCCAATAAAAAAACCACAGAACACATGATGAATCAACTGCAGTCTTAAAGCAATCTATAATAAAATAAATATTAATGGATAATATTAATGGATATAATAAATATTAATGGATAATATTTATTTAACATAAATACAAATGAACTTGATGAAAGGTTGTCATTATTACATAATGCACTCACCCTGTTTCTGAAAATTTGCAAAATCATTCGCTTCAAAAGGATGCAAAACTGCATCCAACCTGAACTAGCAACACCAAACCTTTTGCGCTGAAATTTACGATAACCAAGCATAGAAAGCCCATCAGTTATGCAGGGTTCTGATGATCCACTCTCACTGTTAGCATCTGCTTGAATAGATGGAACTGTGCATAAAAATTTTATTGTTTCAGAAATAAATTTGGTATATACATCAAAATCAATCTATTTCAGTCAATACTATAAGAGAATAATTTTCAGGTACAAATGTAATCTTAATTATTTGAGCATGAATAATATCTATCAAATTAAATATTCTATCTATTCAAATTTTCACAAGCAACAAAATTTTACCTTCTACTTCTGGAAGTAATATATCTTTGGTAGACGTTTCAGAAACTTCTTCAATACCATTATTTGTCCAGCTATGGTGGCCATTCATAATGTTTTCTGACATAGCTTGGACAATTGATTTGTCTTCTGACATCTCTAGTACTGAAAACATTTACTTAATTAGTTAAATGACTCAAAAACTTTGAAAATCAAACATAATTCTAAAAATTGGGAGATATTAGTTCTAAGAAGTTCCCAGAGAAACCATTTTATGAAGTTTTATAATGTTTTTAATAAAACCGATAAAAATCTTCTTCTCTGTCAAAGGGCACATTCTCTTAAACACTTCACTTTTATTATTCTCACATCTCTCATTTTCAGATTATATTTTGTCTGACATTGTTTGAAATTCAATTCGATATTCATAATTGTAATATGAATGTCAGTGTTAACAGTTCAACGCTTGCATGGGAATTCGTAACATAACTTCTCGCATGCTGGGCTCTATCCAACACATGCATTAAGTAGTTTTATCGCTTCATTTACATTGTTGAAATATTTTCAACCTAATTATATTTACATTTGAATAAAGAGAAACATAAATATAAGTTTTTCTTATCTGAAATCAGATTTTACAAGGTACAAGAATTTTGAGAGTATAAGATTACTTTGTTATAATAGGGGCTTCTAGAGTATATTTTTACTTAGTTGTATCTAGGCTTGTGCAATTGGTGCATCTTAATGGGCTCCTGAAGTCAGGCTGCTGAATGAATACCCTTGCCAATTGCCTAATAGACATGAGGTACCTAATTGAAAAGATTTTGAAGGTATCCCAAGACAAAATTTTCTCTAACAAATTACATGTTCAACGAATACTAGTTTGTTCCTTATTTTTGTTGCAAACTGCAAGTGAGATAATTATTTTGAAGCAAAGGGGAGGAGGGAGAACGAAAACACTGGCAAGACAGTGATGGAGTCACGGCTAGACTGATACGTTATGTACGCGTTTACACCCTTGGCAGTCAACTGAACGATGCTTATCGTGAAAGTTGCAACAAGCAGAATCTCTAGATATAAATGTGGCCTATGGCCTTTTGGAAAAAGCTCTTTTAGAAATTGGATATGACTTTAAAGAATATTTCAATTTAGAATTAGTTGAAGAAGCAGTAAAAATCTATTGAATATGGAGAATATCAATCAAGTTTTCAATCAATATGGTTACTAAGGTGAAAAGTCACTTAAATAAATTATGTGAAGATCAAAGACTCACTGTTTCAAAATTAAGTTTTATGGTGACAATTTATTATTTGATTATTGATATCATTTGCTCACAAATTGACGAATGGTTTAAGAGGATATATTCAGAAGTCAACAAACCTTGAATCATCCTTCTTGGAATCTACTAAATAAAAACTGCAGAACAAAGCTGAAAATTTTTCAGAAATCTTCTCTGACAATATAAACTTTTCTTTAGATCACAAATTCTGTGAATTAGAAATATATGAACTTATTTAAAATTATAAACATAACTGATGAAATGAAATACAAGGAAACATTTCCAAGTGCTTCTCTCCAATTTTGATGAATTTTGGATACCTTGTTCAGAATGATGAAGACATCTGTTTTTTTTGGTTCTGCAGACAAATGCTTTAAACGAGTTGAACAGCCTCTCAAATGGAAAGGTGTAGGGAGGTTATTTTCTTACTTCACATAGAAAAATATTTTTTAACAGATACAATTGAAACTTTTATGAACCCAAGAACATTTAAAATACCCCTGAGCAATTTTTACTTGATATTATTAGGGACAATGTACTGCAAAATACAAAATCAGATTCCAAAAATTTCACTTAGCAGAACCAAATAAAATTGTAAAATTCTAAGAAATATAGGAGTTACACTTCTTTTTAAAACAAAATTGACGTGTTTCCACATTTTTTCGAAAAAATGGATTTTATGCGTCGAACTGCCATGAAAATCATTCAGCGATATTCTCTGTGAAAAGTGTTTTCTTTTTTAAATTTTTTATTTTTACCTTATTTATTTATTTTTTGCAAAACAAATTGCAAACATTGCATTGAATATTTATATAAAGAATACAAAAGTAAAGAATGTTCAGCATTCTATGTAACAAAATTAAACCATCGCATTATCATTGCTAGATCTGGCTTTTGCTGCAGCCTCCATGCACGACATGTTGATGTAAAAGTGGTAAGAAATTTATGTGCTTATTGGTCTTTCTCATAGTTTGGAAAACTTACGTTGGAGGGGAATGCTTCCTTTATGCCAGTTAAGGATTTTTCTAGTTTTGCATCACAGTCTTTAAAATTTTTAATTTTGCGATTTCGGTGGAAAGTGAAAATGCCAATTAATCTCATCCATGGCATAAAATTGTTTTGAAATGTTTTTCAAACATTACATATTGAAAACTCGTCTATCAATAATTATGAAATCGAAACTGAAGATTGAAACTAAAGATGTAGAAAAATGTTTTTTAGACCACCAATTGTATATCTCTTTGTATCTAAATCTGGAAAAATCATGTCAAGCAATATGGTGTCATTCTACACCTCGCTACTGGAAGGAATAAGCACCTTGTTTTGCAAGTTTGCATCATGTGGCTACTCCTGGTACCTTTAGTATAATGACTAGTCTCATTATTTCATGATCAGTTGCATGAAATAAATCGAAATCTAATGAATTTGCCAATGGACAATCTTATGCATGTAATTATACTAATAAAAACTACTCTATTAATTAAATAATAAATAAAAGTTCTCAATAATATTGTAATATTAATATTTTTTTCTGCTAGAATTAATGTAAACTAATATTTACTTTGCTTCAACTATATGTAGGACAACATAGAAATTACTTACTGTAATCAGATGGATTGTAGTGAGTTGGACAATGAATACCAACAGATTTTAAAAAAGGAATTAGAGCTCTTGTTGAGCCCTGATATATACAAATTCCTTGGGCTACAACATACATAGAGTCAAAAAACGACAGGAGTAAGGCACTGGGCTGATGAATAGTACACACAATGGTGCGACCTTGGCTGGCCAACATCTTCAGTACTGAGAGACATTGTTTTGCAGCAACATTGTCAAGGCCACTGAAAAAAATAATGCAACAAATACTCAATATTCCTTTTTTAAATAGGTATATACAGATATTATAAAAAATTAATATGGTATAATATGTTTATGGACATAAAGACACCATTTGAAGAATATCCACAGTCAGTTAAACATTTTCTGTGAAAATGATTGACAGCATTAAGATTTAAACTCCATACTTTGGAATATTCATACTTTGTAATTCTAAAAGTAGCATATCCGAAATAAAATGTTTACCAATTTAAAATATAAAATGTTGGATTTATCGACAGCGCGATACAATCCCGTCAGGAGAGTGCCTATAGATATGCCGAGCAATCGACTGACGCTCCTGTGTTCTCTCTGACTGGAGCTGAACTGTGTTCGTGACCGTCGAAGAGAACGCGTGTGGCTTGGTGTGTGCGAACAGTGTGTTGTGCGTCACGACTTGTAATCAGCCAGAATCCGTCTGTAATCAGGGAAAGATCTGTGTGTCGACAGACTGGGGGGCGTGCTGTCCATAATTCCAACAGGTTATGGGCCCACAATAACAAAAGGGCTGCTGGGAAGGGATGAGACGGAGGCAGATGTAAGTCCTTTCATAGAGTTGAACCTCGTCCGGGATCCCCCTGCATGTCCGGGTCGGAACAGCAGAGCCAGGGAGGCAGTAGAGGGAAAGTTAGACGGCGAGGATTTTCGGGGATTCGCGCCAGAGGAGCCAGAGACTGTGGTCAGGCGGCTACCCGGAAGACCTCGCAAGATCTACACTGGACAGCTAGGCAGACCTCGTTCGGCGGAAAGGCGTGAAGGCCAGCGTGAGGAGGAACGAGCTGAGGTTGCAAACTTAACCGAAGTTTCGGTCAAGCAAGCTCTTTCAGGCGAGGACTCTCAGGAATGGTTAGAGGCTAGGGCAAGCGAGGTAAGTCCATACTAAAGAAGAAAACCTGGGAAATAGTGCCAAGACCGGAAGATAGGGGTGTGATAGGGAGCAGGTTCGTCTGAGGAACTAGTATGGAACGAATGCAGAGTTAGAAAGGTGAAAGGCAAGGATTGCGGCGAAAGGGTACTCTCGACGGTATGGAAAGGATTATCAAGAGACCTACGCCCCGGTCGCTCGGCTGGACTCCATTCGCCTGACGATCGCCCTAGCGGCACGAAGTGGCACGTAAATCCGACAATTTGATGTGGCCACCTCAATGGAACTTTAGATCAGGATGTGCTCATAGAGGTTCCCAACGCAATGAGCTATGCTCTTGAATACATTGTCGCCAATGAGAATCAGACTCATCTGGTTAATGAGGCCAAGTCGCTGCTGATGGAGCTATCAACTGACAGGAAGATCTGTCAAATGAAGAAGGCCCTACACGGTTTGAAACAGGCCGGACGGGCTTGGCACAAGCGACTCGACAAGGAACTAAGGAACCTGGGAGCATCTCCTTCCACAGGAGACGTGTGTGCGTGTACCTTAAGGTTGTTGGTAACGGTACATTGTTCATCGTGATTTACATTGACATTCTTGTGATGTGTCGAGACGATGCTTTCGTAAGTGATTCTGAGAAGACTTTTCGAGGTGAAGGATCTAGGGAATCTGGAGCGCTGCTTGGGGATACACTTCAAAGTCAGTGAAGAGTCGATCTTCATGAATCAGAGGACGTATATAGAGGACATCTTGCGTCGATTCAAGATATGTGAGTGCATTCCTGTTTCCACGCCCATTGCACCTTGACCAAATCACTCCAAGGCTGATGTGTGGGGCGACTCTGACTTCCACAGACCGAATTACCGTGGGCTTGTAGGATGTCTCATATCTGTCGGTGGCAATATGCCCAGACTTGGTTCACGCCGTGTGTGCGCTTGCCCAGTACAATGACTATTTCGGAAAGTTCCACTGGCAAGCAGCGAAGAGGGTAATGCGTTACCTAAAAGGCACCGTGAACTTGGGAGTCAAATATCAGGTAAGGGACTCTCCCGTAATGGTATATGTGGATGTGGACTACGCTGGGTCGCTAGATGACAGACTGTCATTCACAGGATGTGTTCACCATTAACGGTGGACCTGTAACACGGGACTCAAGAAAGCAAAGGACAGTTGCGATTTCCACCACAGAGGCTGAGTACATGGCTCTGAGCGAGGCTGCCAAGGAGGCCACACACTTTAGAAGCTTCCTGGCTGAATTGGGAGAGGTGGAGCTCGAAGCGCTGACCCTAGACAAAGACAACTTCACCGCTCAGGGACTGGCGACAAATCCGGTCTTTCATTCTCGAGCAAAGCACACATGCTCGCCATCACTTTGTTCGGGAAGTCGTGGAGTCAGGGCAACTCAAGTTGGAGCATTTGGCATCGCTGGACATGCCAGCCGACATCTTCACCAAGGCCTTGACCAGGCCGAAGCATGACAAGTGCGCGGAGCTGCTTGGACTGGTGAATGTCAAGTGAACCTTGGGGGATTGTCTCGAGGGGAAGTGTTGGAGTTATCATCAGGGCGATACAATCCTATCAGGAGAGTGCCTATCGATATGTCGAGCAATCGACTGACGCTCCTGTGTTCTCTTTGACTGGAGCTGAACTGTGTTCGTGAATATTGAAGAGAACGCGTGTGGCTTGGTGTGTGCGAACAGTGTGTTGTGCGTCACTAGTTGTAATCCGCCAGAATCCGTCTGTAATCAGGGAAAGATCTGTGTGTCAACAGATTGGGGTGCGTGCTGTCCATAATTCCAAAATAAAAAAATATGAAAGTATCGAATAATATTAAACAGGTACAGTATATTAAAAGAAATATTAGGTATTTGATGGGTATTATGTGTACCAGCAACACTTGAAAAAATCTTTGTTATGTTACATTGAATATTTACAAAGCAATTTTAGTACAAAGTACCATGAAATATTCCAATTTCTCTAAATGGTTATAATCATGAAATTCAAAAAATTGTAACCTAAATCACTGAAAATGATATTTATTGAATGACACAAATTTTAAGCGATATACGTTCCAAATTTGAAATAAACTTTAACAAAATAAGAAAGGATAGAGATTTTATAGAAGTTAATTTGTACAAGAAAATGTGACACAAAGAAATAAAATTACCTTGTTGGTTCATCCAGGAAGAAAACTGGAGGGTTATTGATGAGTTCCAAGGCAATGGAAAGACGTTTTTGCTGCCCACCTGACAGTTTTGTGGTTTGTGTGTCCTTGGCTTTTGTGAGCCCCAACGAAGCCAATATTTCAGAAACCTGGAATATAATAAAGCGCAGCACAGCATTTGAATCGAAACATTTTGAAAAACATTTTATGCAAAACAGATGTAAACTCAGAGAAAATTTAATGCACTAAGATATCTCAGAGTTTGTAAGCAAGAAGATGTTTACTCTATAGTTAGCACCTTCTTGTATTAATACAAAAGGCAATCACCCTCTCTTTCTCTATAAAAACACACCTATATCCCCTTTGTCGTGTGCATGCAAATGTGTGGGCATAAAATATACACTGGAAAGAACAACAAACAACTGGCAATTTATTAGAGCACTATCAATAATTAATTACTTTCTAAACAATCAGTTCAATAATTATTAACCAATTAAAGAGGAATAATTTATTTTCCCCACCAATATTTGAAGTTAACTAAAGGATGTAACACCTTCCATTAAAAAAAATATTTTGAAGTTCTATTTAAAGCAAGAACAATGTTAACAGCAAGCAAGAACAACACAGAAAGTTTGGCGGAAATGGGACTGGCACCCTGTTATTTACTGTTTTTTGTTACTAGTAGACACTAGTGGAGTTAAGACAAGTATTTTTTACTTGCCAGAACTTTCACAAAAAGTATGTGAAAATAATAATAATAATAATAATATTAATAATAATAATATTATTAATAATAATATTATTAATAATAATATTATTAATAATAATATTATTAATAATAATAATAATAATAATAATAATAATAATAATAATAATAATAATAATAATATATGTCACATAAATACAGCATACGATATGTATGACAAGTCAGGATATGTATTTAATCTTATAATGGGCAATACAAGCATTTCTAAAAATTAAATGCATGGCGTAAATTAAAATTCAATTCAATTCTCATACTAAATACAGTATCATGGAATGATAGTTAATTTTATAGATGGTAGTGTAAGAAGACTTAAGTTAAAAAATCAATAATAATGAAAAAGACACAGGAAGAAAAAAAAGATAAAAAGTCTTCATAGATTTGTGCCTGGGCTGGGTCCATCATTTATATCCAACAACCAATTTAGGGGGGTTTCAAAACATGCAACAGAAAATGCAAAAAATATTAGTACTAGTTTATATTGATGCAGAGACTTGTTTATGATTTACATATTCTTTTGTACTGTAGAATATGTGGTTTAAAGTGAAAAGCTTTCAGTTTATTTTTGAATGTGTGCATCAAGTTTAAGCTTTTCAATTTGCTAGGGAGTTTGTTATATAGTGTATCTTTTATAAGGGTATTTTTTTGAAAGAGTGAAGTTTCACTGTGTGGAACATGCAGATTTCTTTTTTGTCTCGTATTGTAGTTATGAACTTCTGTGTTTGGAGTAACAGAATCCTTGTAACGCATCTTCTTTGTGAAGATTAGTATTTCAAATACGTACATGCCTGGGAGTGATAGTATTTGTAATTTTTTGAACACTGGTTTGCAGGACTCATGTTTGTGAGGGTTTGTCATTGTTCTCAATATTTGTTTAGATAATGAAAGTGTGAATACTTTCAGGGGTATTTCCCCAGAATATTATTCCGTATTTTAGGTGCGAGTAAGCATTTGAAAAGTACACCATTCACAGAGTATCCAAGTTAGAATTTGACTTAAGGATGTATATGGCATGACTTGGCAAGCTTGTTGTTTAGATCTTTGATATGGGAGTTCCATTTTAGATCACCTTGAATAGTCAATTCAAGGAAAGTTGATTTTTTGGGCTATTTTTACAGGCATGTTTTTATCAGCAATAGCTTTTCTTTAAAGAATGGATTCCGAAAGTATAGGGAGACAGTTTTACTAGTGTTTGTAATGAGTTTATTTTCGTGGAACAATTTTACTAGCGCCTCTAGGAAAGACTTTCTTTTCGTAGAGTTTGTTGGGTATTTGCCCTGCAAATAGGACCATTTTGCTCTTTTGTAGGGTCAGGGGAATTTCAATGATGTATAATAGTAATATTATGGAGCCTAAGATTCATCCTTGTAACAGTCCATAATTTATCATTCTAGGTTGCAAAAGTACTCGAATTTTCGAAAATTGTACATGACTATATTTCAAAATGTATCTGTAGGAAACAGAATTCATAAAGGGAAAAAATCACTCTTTTTAATTGTTGTAGACGCGGAAAATTGTGAATTTTTGCAATTTTCGAAAAATCAGAATTTGCAACGAAAAAGAAATCTGCACCATTCTCATAAACGTCCTTCGCACTATCCAACAACAAAATTAAAAACGGTTGAAAGATTTAGCTGCTAGCGTTTTTCACAGACCGAGAGACGGGCCGACCGACGATTCATGGACGGTTAGCAAGAAATACTGGAGCCCTATAATATCCCGTATTACAAATACCATCCTATTAGTCTTGGAAAATGAAGAATGGAAGGGACAGATTGGGACAGAAACATAATTACGGATACCACAATTTTGAACTATAAGCCAGATATAATAGTGCTAAACAAGCTCACGAAAATAGCCATGGTCATCGATTTTGCGGTCATCAACAACAACAATCTAGAATCTGTTTATAACACTAAAATTCAGAAATATATACTTCAGTCGCAAGAGCTTTCACATCAATGGAGACTTCAGAATATCAGCATACAACCGACAATCATGTCCACCGTAGGATTAATACCAAAATACACAGTGTATGCAATTCAAGTGTTGGAATTACCATTTTCCTGCGTAGAGCAAATGCAAAAAGGAGTAACACTGGACAGCTGGAAAATAGAGAGGGATTTCCTGGAATGAAATGATTATTGGAACACGATTGACTGAAATGTCTACAGAGCAACATTAACTCGGGTTTTCTCTGAGAGCTCTCGACCGAGCCTAGACCAGGAATGGTCGCGTGAATATACATAGTGCAGAGAGTGAACAATTTGAATGATAATAATAAATAATCATAAAATAGTAATAATAATAATATTCTAAAATTAATATTTAAAAGTCCATTTCATAAAAAAATATTAAGGTGGTCTCTTTTACTCAAATAACACAGGGGCTTGAAATTCCTATCGTTGGACCTTTTAGTTCATGAAGAGTCATCGAACTTTGTATCCGATAAAGGGGAGATGGATGTAACTCATTCATTTAATTATCATAATGCACTTCAGCATAACATCAGTATTTAAATTTAATCATTATCGAAATTAAAATGCACTGAGTTGATAGATACGTCCTATAGAGATAAGTGCTCCTATACGCAATTTCGAGAAAGATATGCGCAACCAGAACCCCAACAAACCGAAATAAAAGCACCTAAAATAACACGAGGCACAAAACACAAACCTCAGCAACTGCCCAATTCAAGACAAAACTTACCAAAGCTCTCACAAACTCTTATAACATGACATCCAGAAATTTCCAGCGAAAAGTTGTGACGTCATTTTGGACAACTCGATATAGTTCGAGCATCCCAGTGCGACTGTATAAGTGGCAGACAACTTTATGCATCCTTTGCACATCCTACAGCCCACACACTTTGAGATTACAAAATAGAATTGCACAAATAATAAACAAATCCCACACACGTGATTCTTACCGATATGAATTTATTCTCACTTCGGAATTTTACCATTCCACCACTGTCGCGTCTCTTCATTTACGAATCAGTGGTTTTTGTAAAAAATGAATATATATTCTCCCCTGAGTAAGTCAACAAAAATATATCTTTAAAACGCGACGTAGTAATCAATCATTAGGTGTCAGTATCAAACATTCGCTACAAAAGGTAAAATACGTGCATAATATTTTAATACATGCATATTATTTTACAACACACAGTCGGATGCTACTGAACGACTAAAGTTGATACCCAAGTTCAAGTGCCAAGTATTTTTTTTTTACTGCACAGCTGTTTTTACACAATTAGAGACTATACCGAGTACGCCGGATTACACCCTCCAGCAGGGGAAGATCACCGCAACCTTTCGCGATAAAACATTCACTATATTTTAGGGACTAATGTCCTTAGCATTTCACGTGGCCGAAATCACCAATCAATCTAGCTATGTAGCCACTTACACATGTATATCTTGCATGACAAAATCTTCGGTTCTCTTGCACATTTCCGAACAAGTCAAATCCGTAGGTATCCCAGAGCGTGAATGTGTGATTCCATATATTTAAATAGCTTAGTCGAGTAAATGAGGTGGAAATGAGTAAATGGGACTGGCAAATGGGAAGATATCACCGAATGCTGTCAACATTCCTCAATGGATTTCTTTGGGCTCGGCGCCTTCCTTCGTTAATGTCATTAATAAAGGCATTGTTGTTATTATTATTATTATTATTATTATTATTATTATTATTATTATTGAGAAATATGATAATTTTAACGGATCTACTATTATTGGCACAGCACTACTGTCGGCAACCATTTCTCTGCGATTTGAGAGCGAAATGGCCTGAGCTTTTTTTAAACAAATCATGTACAGGCATATCTGAACTTTCAACAGCATGCGCGCCCCGCTCAACAATCGTTAATTCTCTTTAGGTAAAAAAAAAAACGTATCTAGTGCCCTCCGTATATTGATATTCACCATATTACTCGTATACACATTTTTTTATGCTAATGGTATATAAACAGAGTGGGTATTTCGGAATACGGTGTCCCACTGTAAAATGAAAGTCAGAGAATGCACATTATTTTCTTTCAATAAATAATCTTCTTTTGCTTAATGCAATTCTTCTGCAATAATGAATAATAAAACTGCCATTTCCATTTGAAAGAGACAAAATTCATGTACAGCAAAGAAAAAGTTTTCAGAATGAAGACATTCCAATATACAGACTATTGTAACAATGAAATCTTACAGTTGTTTGCTTCTCCTGAGGAGTTACGTGTGAAGGCAGTTTTAGAGAGGCTGCTACCATCATGGTTTCAGTCACCGTCAACATTGGCTGAAGAGCATCTTCTTGAGCAATGAAGCAAGACATTTTCTGGAAGATTCTTTCATTTCGTGGATGGCCGTTTACGAGAAGAGTACCAGTGACACCTCGAGACCTATCACATAAAATAAGCATGAAATATAAAGATGTGCATCCAATATGTACTGGCATGCATACTTAAAAGATTTCACTTAACACCTACAATGTAAAATAATTCTGTAAATTATAAAAAAAACTGAAAAGAATTTACTGAAAATATTCATATTTATATTTTGTATGACATCACACAAATGGATGGTTCAAATTACTTATGAGAATCGACCCACGTGAGAATATCTAATAGTAAGATACATTTGAAAAAAAAATACATCGTTAATCAATTAGAAGTTGAAAAAGAATATTTAAATTTTTTAAATTAAAAATATTTTCCTCACTCAATAAACTTTCGAAATGTGAAACTACAGTTAACAATTTCTTTTGGAAAACACTAGACTTCCATGTTGGGAAGTTGTAAAGGTTAACTTAAAAGAAAACAAGAACAAAACTATAATTTTCTGATTAAATAACTTTTTTTCTGTTATTCCGTCCTTGGTACATTAATAATGTTGAAAAAATACCCATTCATATAAAACCAGTTACGAAACCAATAAAGCAGATCTTAGGCTGATTATTCTGCCTTAAGGATTTCATTAATTTTAGTTTCTTTCTAACAGGCAGTTCTAAGTAGTATTTTATACTGCCATTTGATCTTGAACGTATAAAGGTTTGATTATTTTAAAATAAAAATCCATAATATTTTATTCTTAATATTTTTCTTAAGATTTAGTGGTCGCAAACGACCCAACTGGTCAAGGGCAAACCAAAAAACTAACAATAATTACTTCACTAATTTTAATGAGAGTACATTACTTTCCCAGTACGCTCTCTAGAACATCAAGAACTCGAATGTAGTATACAGGTGAGTCATTTTAGATGAAACTACTGGTGCTACAACAGCATATACTTTTTAGCCTTATATGTAACGGTTCTTCAATTCCATACTACTACATGAACTGTTATAGTGTTTCCAAGCAGCAATTTGTTTCTCTCTGCGAAGACACGAATCCAGGTCCATCGACTTCACTCGCTATGCGCATTACTGCTACACTACGCAGTTACTCGGACGTACTTACATTTGCGGACGCTTAAAAACCCAATGGTCTCTCCCTTAATATCAAACACGCAATTTTCGAAAATTCAGAGTTCAACGAAAATGATATCTGTGCCGTTCTCTTAGTCCCTTGTTCTATATGTGGAAAAATATTAAAGAAAAAATTGGAGCAATGTTGAGAAAAAATTGCATTAACTGAAATTACTGGAAAACTACAATTTTTTCATAACCTTCGTTAAAGATTATTTTTTAGAACAAAATTCATTTAACACAAAAATTTGTATCTTCAATATTGTAATTTTGCAATGTTAACTTTTTGCAATTTTGGCAAATACAGAGTTCACCGGAAATGAGACTAGCACCATTTCGTACCGTCCTTTTGATACATACGAGAACAAAATTTAAAATAATTAAAGCATGTTTTGAGAAAATAATTGTTTAAAAATTGTCTACATTTCACGTAAAATTACGAGAAAATTACTTATAGTTATTGCGACTGACGGACGTGCGGTCGGACTGATGGACGGCTTGACAGGGGGAGGGGGCGAGAGACGTGCTGAACGGTAGGAAACTGTTCCAACCGTTAGACCACCACCTAACCCAATGATTTTTTTTAAACGGTCGACTGCGCACTTGGGAGAAGACGGTGGGTGCATTATACGGAACCCCTCCTGCGGAGTAAGAGGGCTCCTGAGAAGTATGAGGATTGAGATAAGCAAAACGGCCGAGCCAGCCATCGCGACATCGGGTAGCGTCTCGGGAGCATTACCTACATGTGCACTGTGCCTAAACCACGTGATCGACTGCAGTTTGTCGCTTTACAACCGTTCGAAAGGGCCAGATCATCGGATCTGCGGGATGCTTGATGGTCTCGTCACCTCATGCCGTGCGGACACTACCATCGCCTTCTGGAGGTGGCAATGGATAGCGGAAGGAATACAAACACGAAATGCACATTCTGGTGATCTGCCACGCTTGTACCTCTAACCACCAGAATGTCTTAAGGTTAGAATCCTGACACTATAGCTGGGTCGAATTCAGCTGCTGTCGGGAAGAGAATTCTAGCGGCCAGCTGCTCTGATTTTTAGTTATCTGTGGTTTCTTTAATAACGCTAGGCCAATATCTGAGCACTACCCTAACAAACGGGCCCGATCTTTTTTTCTTGTTCCTTCACAACGCGTGTCTAAGCCCTGTGACATTGAGCGTTTGGAGAAATCCTCCTTGAAATATTTTTTTATTTAGTCAGTCATCGTCAGTCGAAGTCAGTCATTGCCTTTTATCCCCTCGACGCCTTTACATTCCAATTTTCCTAGACGGTCACCCAACCAGGAACACGCAATGTCTCGAATTCACTTAATCTCCATGTCTTCACGGAGCATAGTTAAGGAAATCGGCTAGCGACGCCGGTCTTTCCTTCCTCTTCCTTGTCCTATCTTCAACCCTACTTACACACACCTTGCATGCAACACCGCATTGTCCTCCTGGGTGTTTTTATGACGAGTGTCAAAAAAACGAAAATTTATGGTTGTACAGCGAGGAAGCAAGCTACAATCAGCATACGACGCCTCTGATTTTCCCATTACCAACGCACAAAAACTAGCTTTTGTTAGCCGCGCGCTTCCGTCAATTATTAAAAATCATTCATTGGTTTCAGTCGAATCTGCGTTGGCAAATCCTTACATATTTTATCAACCCTTTTTAGATTTTTTGCATTGGCGGCGGACTCTCAATTGCAGCTTCCGAACGGCACGTGTTTTGAAATACCAAGTTTCGGAAACGGTCTGAGATGACTTGCATTCCCCTCTTCTTAAGAGATGTTTAAGAGACATTGTACCGAATTAATTTGAGTGTACACATGCCAATACCCACGATCCGCTTCTGGATCAGTCACATTAGCCGCTTGCGCCATGCCGAAAGAATCTCGTACTTTATTACGCGAGTAAAAGGACCTTCTCAGAGTGGGGCGGTTTTCCTACAGTTCAAGAGGCAATGAAGGGTGTCAAGACTGCATTACAATACTCAGAGACAGACAATGCAAAATCAAGTAAGGAGAGAGCACTAAGTCTGGAGAAGGATTTAGAAAAATTACTAAAGAAACGTTTACGAAGCAAACAATTGAAATTAATTGATTTTTTAAGATCAAATATAGATATTTAAATTTTCATTTCCTGCTGTTAATCTATATATTTATAAAATCAATAATTGCGGAAAAAATATATTTAATTTTGACATCAGATATTGTAAACCTCTGATATAGTGAACCAAAAAGGTTAGTCCCCACAAGTTCATTATAAACGGAGTCGACTGCACTTTCAAATGGAGGGACGTCTGTCAGATCAGCTCGATACGGTTATCAAATCGGGAGCTTCGTTACGAGTTAACGTTTGGTATTGAAGATCTCATTGCATAACCATGTCACAGCTGATTAAGTCACTCTATTTACGAGCGTTTCGAAGCGTAAAGCAGCAACCCTTGGTGTTCACACTAAATATTTCGAAAATGTCTGACTATTTAATTTTTCTCTTCATTACTGATCTAGAAACCGATAGATTACTAATTTAGAGTAAAAAGATGATTTGAAGGGCTTGGGTACTAACGAGATAAGCCCATCTAACCTTCCGTAATTTGTAACTTTAACATAATACAGTAAAATCTGTCTACAATGGAACCTGTACAAGCCGGAAACCTTCCTTAACCGGAACATTTCTCCGGTCCATGAAGCTAAATGGCACTTTACATAGCATAAAACGGAACCTCTGCAACGCGGAAATGGAAAGCACTTTTAATGTCCTGCAGGAAATAAATTCTTGTTAAAACGAAATTGCTGTGAACGCAATGCAACAGAGAAACGGGAGGTTTTGTTAATGAAATAAATGCATCTGCAAGCCTGTTTTAAATTCTCTATCCCTGTGACACGCAATTTAATCGTGACAGCCGGATAAGAGAGGGGCTTCAGCCGTCAGCGTAGAATTCGACCTTGCCTCTCAAGTCGTAGGCCGTAGGGAAATTTCCTCTCTCCCGACTCTCTGAGCGTGGGGATGTGTACGGGCATAGCTTCTATTAACGCGTCGCGCTACCTTACGTTGAAAATCATATCCCCTCAACCAGATACGCATTGCTCAAGACCATGCGAGGGTATACGAAAGTCGCAGTACTGCGTAACTGAGTATGATTAAAAATATTAACGGTTTTGGATCGACGTTTTTTAACATCGAAGTTTTAATTTTGAGCAGCATCAATATTTTGAAACATCGATGTTCTGTTTGCGATGTCGCATCTTTAATTCTGATAGTTGGCTGGAGGGTTAAGGTTCCGACGGCCTAAAGACGGTCGCAGTCACAGGGTCGTGCGCGATAAGGACTCTTAATTTGCACTCCCAATTCCGCCATTTCACACATTTTATTTTGTATCCGAAAAATGTAGATTTTACTTCCGAAATACTTAAAACTATCCTTGACTCAATATAAGCGCAACCTATTAGATTTTATATACGTAAAAGAGAAATCGCCAATACACTTTTGAGCAGAAACGAAGCGGATTTTTTTAGCAAAATTTTAGTAGAAACATTTGTTCATCTAGCCGAGGAGAAGACTGAAATGACTCATCCTGTCTGTATGTGTAATATTCATAAACATAGTATCGTAAATATGTTTGCTCATATAATGAAGGGTTTGGGGCTGTATCAAACTTTGACGAAGTCACACTTTGACCAAAATAAAAAATATTGATATTACGATTAGCGGGAGACTTCCTTTTGCTGGAGTGGATTATCTTGTCACTTCCCCAAGCCCTTCAATGGAATTATAAAGTTGTATCAAAATTAATAATGGTTACGTTTGAGATCTATCATTGTATTTTGCGTCTTATAATTCACGTATTGGGATACTAAACTTTCGTATTACAAAATAGCAATGCGCAGTACTTACCGAAAGCCTGAAATAACATTTAAAAGACTGCTTTTCCCCGCTCCACTAGGTCCCATAATTGCTGTTAATTCGCCAGCTTTGAAGCGTCCATTAATCCCATGCAGGATTGTTTTTTTGGGTTCTGGAACACAGAAAGTAAAAATATAGCAATGGAACTATATGAAACATAAATAATTATTTTGAAAAAGTGCTCGCGTAGAGCTCTGACGATTTCTTTCAAATGCCACTGCAGTTAACACAAAATCCGCTAGATGACAGCTCTGTAAGGCTAGTTCTTCGTTCATCTCGACGTCCCAAGCGAAAAGACCTTGGTTGAGAAAACCGAGCACAAATTATGTAATAAGTGAATAGAGAGAACGATTATATTTAATTTATTTGCAGAGTTCAAGATTATTTTGACCGTACTAGTGGTCTGAAAACAATTGTTTCTACAATTCTTATCCAAGAGCTGGCTTTAAAAAGTGGCTTTTAGAAATTATCCGCTTCCAGTTAGCAACCACCTTATTCCCGAAAACATTCGAATCATTACAGTAAAGATAATTGAAAACATTTTGCCGACAAAAACACACAAATTTGCAGACCTGGCAAAACCACACAAGAAAAGGTTTTCCAAAAAGCAACACATCCGCATTTTCTAGGCAAAATCAAAACTGCTTCATAGATTTTTGCCTAGTTTCTGAGAACATAACGAAAACACTCCTCTCACATGGCCGGAGGCTACACATTTTTCGTTTGATTTCTGCACGCATAGGAAATTAGTATTATAGATAGCCGTAGGCGAGCGCACAGCGGGTGGGGGCGAGGGGGTCATGCCCCCCTCAAAATGTTTTGAAGGGGCTTGTATCATTATATATTAAAACTTTTTTTTTGCGTAAAAATACAAAATCCCTGATAAAAATTAAGTACACTAGAATTTGCAGGCACATTTCAAAATTTGCAATAATGATAAGTGGATGATTACATTGGACTATCTGTATAGTGAGACAGTGTATCTGAGTAAGTGTTCTTGCTTATTATCAAGGGATATAAAAATGAAAATGTCGGCTTTTCTTGCTTGTTCTTGACTTCATTGTACGAAGGTGAGTCAACTGAAAACCGCAAACGTATAATAAAAAACCAAAATTTGGCGCTAGTGTCCTGTAAGTTGATAGACATGGTTTCAATAGTATGCCAGATGTCTCCTAGTTGGCATCATTGTGAAGAAACCCAAACTACGGCGCTGTAATAGTGTGTAAAATGGCTGCGCCACTAGCAACGTACACCAGAGAGGAACAGCGTTACGTGGTTCATTTTTTGCGAAGTGAAGGTTCAGTATGGTGACCCTTTATCACAGCAGCAAGTGTACGAATGGTGTTGGAAGTTATCAAATGGTGTAAAATCCGTGGCTGACGCTCCGCGCCCAGGTCAGGCACATCGCGTATGATTCCAGAGACCATTGCAACCGCTGAAGTAATCGTGATAGACAACCGCCGAGTGACATTAGAGGGCATTGCAAAAACTGTACACATTAGTCATGGTTCAGCACATCACGCTGCGCATGATGTGTTCCAATTTCTTAAGGTGTATGCAAGATGGGTGCCCCGATATCTGTCCTCTGAATTGAAACAGCGATGCCATGAAAGCGAAATGACGTGGAATGCTATGGGCAGATGTTCTGCTGCAACGCAATGCACGGCCCCATACGGCTCGTGCAACTGGTGCGACAATTACAGACTTGAGATTTGAATGCGTCTCATATTCACCTTACTCTCCAGATCTTGCCCCGAGCGACTTCCACATGATTGAGCCACTCAAAGAAGTAAAGCGCGCAAGAAAGATGAAGTACGCCAAGCGCTGCACGAGTGGTTGCGTCGACTCCCCAAAACATTTTTTTTCTACGGGAATTAAGGCATTTCGGAAGCGCTAGCATTGAGCGTAGGAGAGACTGTTGAAAAGTGATCCAATTTTGTACCATGTGTGCACAATAATATTTTAAAAAATAATTACGGTTTTCATTTGACTCACCCTCGGTTATGCCAACACATGTATATGTGGCCGTAACTGCCTCGTGCCTGAAGAGTCGAAACTCGCCCGGGGAATGGATATTCGTGTGTCCATATGCCGTTACCAATAAACCCAATGTTACTGACAGTGGTCTCTATATGATCTCAGTAGTTGAAAAGCGACCTTAAATAAGTAAAAAAAATGCAGGTGGCGCGGCAGCCGCTTTGAATTATGTGCCCGGAAGTGCCATTTAAAACCCAGTTTCCTCGAAGATAATTTGGGGGCTCTGATTTTGGGGGCAGGGCAATGGATCAACTGCATATCTGTAGTTCGGGAAAGTGAAAACCACGAGTACCCTTCCCCGGAAATAATTTTAATACAAAGTTTTACTTGGCTTCTAGTATTACATGCGTATTTTGGAAACTATCAAACACATGGGGAGTGATGCATATCAAATACATCGAAAATAATTTACGTTCTGCCTAGAACTGCAAGAGTTTGCGTCGACAATTGTAATTGTTTCTGTAATATTAGATTTTATAAAAGACTTGCAAATTAGTATTATGTTTTGATTTTCATTCTCACTAAAAAAACAAGATCACGATGCATCCATAATCCTAAAACAAATAACTCGGAAGGCGTTGAAGTTATTCAACCAGCGGACACTGGAGTGCATCAGCTCACAAACCCGGCCGAATAAATGCCCGTATTCGAACTATAGCCCGTATTTTACTGTTTCCTGTATTGATTTTTTCTCAATGTTTTGGGAATCATGGCCTCACCTGCCTCCTCCTTAGATCTTCGTTTACAAGGTATAGGCACTCCAAATCATCAACACAAATTTACATTACGAAACATTAATAGATTCTTCTAAATTATACAATCAAAAGTGTATGAAATAAACATACAAAACCTCAGTTTCATCACAAAAGCACTTGAACAATTCATTTAAGAAAATGCCTATTGCATATTTTGAACAGTTTTTATTTTTGCGTCAAGAAAATTGTTTTGATTTCCATGACCGCAGCTGAACGCAATTGTTTCAAAATGGCAATTAATTATTTGCTTTATACATCTAACAAGGGTCGTCGGGGTCAATTACCCTTCCGATCAGCAATTACAAAATAACAGTTTAGTATATGATTTTGACGTAATATTTTTGCTACTACGAAAAATACTACAGAAATATTTTTGAGCCTGATGATATTGTAGCATTTGTGACATTGAAAAGTATTTTTCTAAAACAACAAATGATTCAAAATTTATGTTATAACATAACATTTTTACTTTTTCGCTACGGAGTAGAGAGAAAGTTATTTAATGCTGCCCGAAATAACGGTGAATATTCGCAGAAACCTTATTACAGGGCCCTGGTAACGAAAATATGAATACCCCTAGTTTTCTAAATTTATAAAAAAAATCCTCTAACACGTGGTGTAGCAAGAATCCAATCTTTGTGGGTCCTTGATACTGAAAAAATCGAAGACAAAACAATAATCTGTCTGAACAACGCAAGCGGCTAAACATATTAGCCGATTTTCTCCAAAATTGATAACCCCAATTTGAAACCGATATTTTAATTTTGGGTCTACTTTACATGAAGTTACAAGGACATTTCTCAAATTTTCAAAAAATGGCTCTATCGTTTTATGATTAAATTTTGTTGCTGGACAGTGAGAAGGAAGTTTAAGTAAATGGTGCCGTTCTCATTTTCGTTGAAAACTGATTTTTCGAAATTTCAAAAAATTAACATTTTTTTCGGAGTCTTCCCACCACTGCAGTGTGCTAGAGACTTTTTCCCCTTAATGAAATCTTTTCCCTGAAGATAGGTTTTGAAATAAGGTCATGCACCGTTTTTCGAAAAGCATACTTTTACGTTCAAATACGGGCGAGAAGGTACTTCTGTTTTAGCACCACTAGTTACATTCTCGTTTTACTTCCAAAGAAGAGAAGATATTGTAATCGTGCGCTAGAAACGGCGACTTTCCAACGGAAAAACTCACTGTCAAGCCCTCGTAACGAAATAGTGGATAAATATTGTTACTATACTATTAAAAGTACATCCTTAAAAAGGTGTAGTCTGAGTCCATGTTCTGGTCGCGGGGACGAGTTCCGCCATGGGATTTAGTTGTTTGTTCCTTGTCTCTCACGTGTGTATGTCACCGAAGGCCTCGCGTACTGCTGACCACAGATCAGAGGAGCCCCCAAGTGTGGTGTTGTGTAGAATACGGTCTCATTAGCGTCTCATTGTATGTATGCGTCTCATTAGGAAGTAAAGAACAACCGGTTGTCCCCGGATAAAAGTCCTAGAAAAGAAAATTGCAAAACCGTTTACTTATGTCTTCAACTTGTGTTTATCACAAGAAGTCAGCCACAAAAACTTAAACATGCTATTATTGTTCCAATATACAAATTTGGCGATAAAAGTAATGTAAATAATTATAGATCAATATCCCTGCTGCTAAGCTTATCTAAATTGTTTGAAAAGCGCTTGAAAACTAGGTTAATGAACTTTGTGAAAAGAAGAAAAATCATCGAGTAAAAATAAATACTGTTCTGGAAATAATCTATCGACCCGAGAAACTATCGTGTAAGATACTAAAACATTTTTTCTGTACGCCCAACACTACGTTCTCTTCTTTCGAAGTAAGATCGAGAAAGTAAAAAGTACGACAACGTTGCAAATTCTATCCTCTAGAAAAACCACAGATTATTCGCTACAAAAAAAAAATAAAAAAATCACACAATCCACAATTCTATTTCAAATAAAAAATTTACCGCCCATATATTTCAAACAATGTCAATTGAGCAAAAACTGACCAGAAAAAGGCATACGAATTTGAGGATATTTGAGAAGTTTTCCAAACGTTCCCACCAGAACAAAGAAAAGTAGAAGACGAAGAAATTATGAATGCTCTCTGAGGTTCTTTACAGATGTCCTTGCCAATGAAGCCTTTGAAATCTTCAGATATGCAAGATACTATGAAGGACATATGTTCATCCAAGGTAAACACTTGGTACTATCTTATTACCAGATAACTACTACTAAAATTACCAGGAAGGGGATAGTTTTGATTACTTCAATAGTAACCGCCATTCTCAGAACTAGTCAATTCCCTTCATAATGAAAAATAACTAAAATTATTTCCATTCTCAAATCTGGTATAACACCACATAAAACCAAATTCTACCGTTTTATGCCTATTCCAGATCGATAAGTATTTGAGAAACCACTCTTCTAACAACTTCATCCTCATACTTACAGAAATGGATGACACTCAAAAATTAATCTGGGTTTATGATAAGTCATTCCACCCTCGAACTACACTGTAATATTAAAATCTAGCAACAGCTTCAACATTACTCCAGAAAGAAGTCAACATAATCAATAAGTGCCTGAAACGTTGGAACTAAAAAGTTAACAGAACCAAATCAACTTGCATGACATTCATTCCGGGCAAAATCACGCGTCTTGCAGAACAAATCGATAACCATACGATTCCCCCTAAGCAAGCACGATGAAGTACTTACGTTTGGTAGGGGGTCGAAATTACAATGATTCTGCGTACAAATTGAACAATAATGTTATACCTCGAGTCACGTCTCGCAAATACCTAAGAATACAGGTAGACAGTAAACTGAGCTTGAAAAATCAAGCCTATTCCATTGTGGGGAAAGCCTGGAAATCTTTACATTTTGTTATGCGGATTCTGAAAAAGAGTACAGTAAGAGCCAAAGAACAAATATATCATTAGTGCGACCCATATTAGAATATGTGCGATATGATAAGACCCATTCAGAATTTTGCAGCAAAGGAATCTAGAAAAGATCCAGCGTAGAGCATCCAAATTTACTTTCAGGGGTGCCAATAATAAAGTAGTATGGTTGTCACTCGAAAGGAGGAGATTAAAGTGACGTTTCTATGCTATGTATAAAGCGTACACAGGCCTTCAAACGTGGAAAGAGAGTCAAAGTCGAATAGGGAAACTTACATATTTCGGCAGAGTGGATCACTTGCAAAAAAGTTCAGACAAGTTTCAGAAAACAGACGTCGGGAAATATTCATTCGCGAATCGAACTATTAGAGACTGGAACGGTTTGCCTGTGATAGTCTTCGATCCCTTTCCTCAAAGCCTGAGCAAATTTAAAAATAAATTAGTATTTTGAATGTTGATATGTGAATTACAAATATCTTGAATATTATTCCGTGTAAGTAACTATGTCTACTATGTGTTTAATTATTATTATTATTATTATTATTATTATTATTATTATTATTATTATTATTATTATTATTATTTTATTTTTATTATTATTATTACTATTATTACTATTATTACTAATTATGTACAGTGCAGTGCAGTGCAGTGAAGTGTGGTGCGCTGGAGTGGAGTGCTATGAAAGATTACAAATTAACGTGAACCGTGCAAAGCCTGTAAATGTTGTACAGTTGTTAAGTTCTGTAATGTTAATTTAGGGTATTCTGCCACCACGTTCTCAAACTTAATTGAAGAATTAGTAATAGATCTAATCTAATTCACTTCAAGAGAAAATTAACCCAGAAATACCTTACTAGACAAGGAAAGAAGGTCTTTTAAAAATTAAAAAAATACTACTAATACTATTACTTAAAATATACTAAAAGGCTTATTGGCAGATATTCCACCCACTCCCTGCAATATTCATATTTACAAAACAATAATAAAACCTATTTGTGTATGGACCTACGGATGAGAACATTGAGAAAGTGACTCGAACATACAAATTCTCGAAAGATTTCAAGGGAAAATTCTGGGATAAGGAACCAATGAATGAATCGTGGTTCGTTAGAAATGATTTTCATTGGTAAGATTTAAAATGACCTACAGAAGCAAATTAAAAAATAGAAGCCTCAAACATCAACGGAGAATAGAAAAGCACCAGAAGTCTCAAAATTACACCACCTTTCCATACTAACGGTTGGAAGATAGGAGCTAAGGATTACATTTCCACCTAAAATAAGGACTATATATATTAAATGTAATTTTGCATAAATACATTTTATTTAAAATTGTAAAATTGTAAAATTCATTGAATAAATAAATATTTTCTTACAAATTTTGAGTATTCTAAAAATAGGTATTTGCCCCTTATTAAGTCATTTTATAGGTAATTTTCAAAGCATTTTTAGGTCATCAGAATTCGAGCTCTGGTTATCACATTGTGATTCGTATCTACAACTTACGCCTGAACTTCCAGGGCCTGATGGTGAGTGAGATATCATGGAACTGCAAGTCGAGGTTGGCTGAGGGCTGCTGGAGCGGCACTCCGTCCTCCTCCTTGGCCCCACACAGCATCATCTTCTTGATCGGCATATCGAACCAGTTATCGACCTCCTGCACACACAAGAAGAGAGGCACTTACTCACTGAAAATCCAATCATTATACCAGTTTTTCAAACTTGTTGGTAGTTCATGCAAAAGAGACTACGTGCACATTAGTAATCGAAACTCATAGAACCATCGAAATTAACCACTCTTTTTAGAATGTACTGTTCTATTATACAAGACAACTACAAGATCATCTCCTTTATGTATTTATCGCCAAAATTCAGTAAAAACTGTAATTGACGTTTGGTACACAAATATAACTTTTCGCATGTCCGGTTCGGAAAAACATAGCTTCGAGTACTTCGGCAGAACCTTAAAGTCAATAAATGTATAAAAAATGCAGCTAAAGCATCATGGCACATCTCCAATATATAGTTTTTCAAATTATTCAAAATATAAAGAACTGATAACGATAAAACATTTAACAAGAGATTTAATGGCACTTTACCATCACTTCGGCTGGATTCAACTCAACCTCGAGTACGTAGCACAGCAATCTTCCAGAATCAAGTGGCGTTTTCCGAAGTGTATTCAAAACTCCGAAAAAGAAGCAGCAATCAAAGGGAAAAGTCTATTTATTTTACGATAAATATATATCTAAAATTCAACGTCAAATTAGCGCATTTGGCCAAAAGCTCTACAGCTTTCTTAGGAGAACACTTCAGATATAACTTTAAAAATACATATACACGTTGAATCTTTGCTCCAGTTCGAAATCATGAACGCAAAAACAAACTCTTCAGTGCAAACGCTGCAGGACTCCTGGTATATGCCTTCGCCTTCTGCATGCAATGCTGCGATTGAGAGCAAAGGAACCAAATTTGTACATTATCTTTTTTTATCAGCTTTGAGAAGTAATGAATTCCTTTATTCGATCACGGATAAGATATCTATCCTTCAAAGAAAGTAAGCATTGGAAAGTTATACGAGGTCACGGTATTGTAAACAAAAAGCTCCCAAGACGTGAGCACATTTTTTATACTGATATACACAATAAAAATATAATACAGATAACTATAACAAAAAAAACGCGATTGAAATCATATCGATGTATAACAGTATAAACAATTTACTAAAAAGAACTAACGGTACATACTCTCGGTACATACTCTCAGTACATACTCTCTCGCATTATTTGTAACTTACATATTTCATAGCTAAATCGGTAGACACAGCGGTAGTAGTGGCTGTTAGGCAACGCCATGTGCCTCCAGTGATTGGCCGGTCACCTCCAGGTGTCGAAACATGAACACCTAATGTGTTTAACACAACCTATTTTGTAAAACTTGCAGGAATCAAATTCTCCCCAGGAAGCGCCTGATCGGAACAGAGGTTTTTCATGTTTTTCCTTTATCATTTCCAGGCGAATGCCAGCTTATTCGAGAATACAGACCACATTCATTCTAACAATGGGATGTGATGATACCTATCGTTGTAAGGTCCATTCAACTGATCTAGAAAAACAGACAAGTACAACACAAAAGCTGAAACCTTGTGAAAATTGCCCCCTTTTTTGGAGTAGATTGCATATGTTTTCGCGTATGCAGTCGAGTGACGTTACTTCATTTTGGGGATCGCCTCATTACTGCCAACACTTATGTCCATGAGTACCCCGTTTCACCCCGCAAAACTTCTGTTCTAAATGAGATTTGATAGCGCCGTCGGGTGTTGAGCAATTCATATGGGCAGACGCAAATACTATATTCAGACTCATCCATAAGCAGTTTTACTTTTTTTGAAAATACAAATGTTTTAATGTGCAAGGAACGTAATTAAAATAATTCAACATATTGTACTTCATCCTCATATACAGTTTAAAGAAAATCATTTGGGGCCATTTGGGGCCATTTGGGGCGAAACCTTGTTTATATATTATTGGAGAGATTTTCATTATTTACTCAAAAATCATGCAAATTTTGTGATTTGCTATTAGAACCAGAGAACAATACACCTCATTTAGTTCTCATATCGTGTAATTCTTCCACTAGATTGAGAATCGCCACTGAATTGCGCAATGCAATTCGTATCTGAAACAATGTTAAACATTTTCATTCGTTTAAGTGTTATCTATATCTTACTGAGTAGTAAGATTGCAATTGTCAGTGCGATAAGCATCACAAACATCGCTGGTTTGTCGCTTTCATATAAGAGACGGAAAAAAAACTTGCCGCGTGATAACACATTATAACACTGTTTCGCCCACTGAATTATCACAGGTCACCACGAGTGCTTTAAAATTTGTCGATGAATCCCCGACCTGCGAAGAGAGAAGGGGATTTATTTGAGAATTTCGAAAGAAGTGGTATTTAATAGGTCTATTCCACGAATGAAATTAAGTCCAAGAGAGTTCCAAATTGCGCCAAATATTTAATATGATTGTAATTATATATAATTATTATAATAATAATTATAATTATTATTTTTATATAAATAAGCTAAGCATAAAAGATGTTATGTTATAGTACATACGCGGTTTAATGAACATCGACAAAGAGATCCACCTCCTAAGATAGATAAGTCACGGTTTATGATTGGCTAAAAGTGAGAAGCGGTAAGAAAAATTGGATAGAAAAAATGATTCACATTTTCAGATACATCTCGACTGACTGGATGACGCCGCGTTTTTTAGATAACGCGCCCTGATTGGGTCATTTCGTACATATAGTTAAATCCTATTGGTTTTAGTTTCACGAGTGGAATAGTCCTACTCTAAAACACGAAGTATTTGTGCACTGAAAAAGAACAAATTGGAAAAAGCGTTGTCACGCGGCAACGAAACGACGCGCCAGCTTAAGAGCAATCACGTTCTTAGTCATAACAGAAGAACTTTGATATAATTTTTAATTATTCCTAAGATAATGAGCCGATAGCGAATCATGCGAGATACTTTGTAGCCTTATAGACGTTATGGTTATCTCACAGTTTTAACTAGAAACTGCTGCTGAACGGAACCTCACAAAATGGTTTTCGAACCTAATGAAGCTTCAACAGCACATACTTTTTTGCATTTTTTTTAAATTTTTAATTCTTTAAAATTAAGCGTTCCTTGTTCTACCCGTGAAGAGAAAACATTTAGGGCGGTTTTGGAGACTTTTTAAAAATAATTTACATTAACTTCAAGCACAAATTGCGCGAAAATGACTTTTTTCAAGAAATTGTACATTGCTCTTTTTTACAAATCTGATTTTTTTTAAATATATTTTGTTGAAGACAAAAAATATCTTGAAATTTGTAGCTGTACCATGTTACGTTTAATATAACTAGAAAGCTTTCCCACAAAAAGTCAGATGTTTACCTGTAAAGGATAAAAATGGGAAATTAATTACAAATGAACAGGGCCAAATGAAGCGGGGACACGAGTACTTCAACGAAGTATGTAATAATACTCCTAACGTATAACTAGGGGTGAATGACCAGGAGCAAAGAAATGAAACAAGTGAGTACAGGAAATTAAAGTTCAAGCCCGAACAGAAAGATAAAGGAAGCCCTTAAAACGCTGAAACGTGGGAAAGCTTCACAATATATAACGACCGAAGTCCTCGTAGATGATATAAATACTACCGTTAAGATCCTCTACCACTTTTTAAGGAGGTATGAAAGTAGAAAATGATCCTTCACACGCTGTAACAATTGGAGGGGGATCACATTATTATCCGTTCCAGGCAAGATTTGGCCATAAATACTATTTAAAAGAAAGAAAATTGAAAAAACATACGCCGAGAGCAAGCTGAGATCCTTCCAGAGAAATCATGTAATGACCAGATTAACATCATGCGGATAATTATTGAACAGAGTATAGAATGGCGAAGTCAGATATATGCCGCCTTTCGTGATTTTCAGAAGACTTGAGTCGCCAATTCGAAATAGATTTTCTTAATTCTGTCCAGATACTAAGATATCTGAAGTTTTAATTACAAACATAAAACAATTATACGATGATTTTGGATGTTACATAATGCACGGGGAAAACATCAGACAAAATAGAATTAAAATGAAGTGAAACAAGGCTGCTTCTATTTATTGCAGAGCTGGATGATGTGATGGAAAGAGTAACCACAAAGGAAAGAAGAGTTATTAGATGGGGTTTGACGGGAACTCTGGAAACCTAGAGAATGTGGACGACGTATGTCTTCTCTCTCAAAATTGTATGAATATGAAGTCAAGGCCCTCACTTGCTTGACCTGTGAGGTTGTAAGGCTGTGTGAGGCTGCTAATTAATTATAGTAAAACGAAATCTTCAAGAATAAACGCAAATGTCCAAGACACCTTTCAAATTAACCAGGAGCAAGTAGTGGATGTTCACAAGTTCCAATGTTTTCTTGATCCGTCTGGGCCACTACTTGTCCTGTCTGGCAAGCACCTTGGTCTCTTCGAAAAAGAAGTCATGGCCGGTTTCCCTTGCGTGGAGAGCTTCGGCAGAGCGATTTACATTTTTGAATTCACGAATGTGCTCCCGTAGTCTTACGTCTACGGTTCTTCGTGTCTCCACGAGGTCTGAGTACGACAGCCTATATGCCAGGGGAGTAAACTCCATAATGGGCCAGTGAGTTGCTAAACGAGGGCCACCTTACTACTACATAACCTCCCTACTATAACAAAATTCAAGCGCCACCCCGTACTTAGGAGCGGTAAGAGACAGTTCTCAGTCGCAATGGGCGTACGAGTCACCGAGATTACATGAGGATTGCTTTGGAAAGGGCGACACGTGACACAAACTAAATATGCGTGTTCACACTTAACTTTGAACGAAATTAGGCCCTGGCTGTGAGTCACTAGCAAAATAAAATCTGATTGCTCGACAAGTCAAAGAGGAGAGACATTTCATATCCTGCGTAGTTAATGAACCCAGAATTCTGACAAATCAGCGAGATTGCAGCGCGTGCTACGAGTTAACTTATTTATCAGCAACAGTTGCCTTTCTCAGCTGCGTTACTATCACTACATTCATTTTTATGCCCCATCAATTCTGCTTCGTCTATATGACTGCAGTTGAATACTTGGTATCT